ACACCCACCCAAACACACACACACACACACACACACAAACACACACACACACACACACACACACACACACACACACACACACAACACACTTTTTCTTCCTTGTCAAGATAAGAAAAAAGTTGGGACAGTATGTAAAAAGCTAAAGAAGTAATGGTTAGTAAAATCTGTTTGACCTATATTAAATTGCAAATGGTATAAAAAGACAATATTTTGTGGTTTACCTTATGAACTTATTTTTTTGTAAATATACACTGATTCCAAATTCGATGCCTGTGACATGTTCCAAAAAAGCTGGGACAGGAGCTTGTTTACCACTGTTTACCATCTTTCCTTTTAACAGCACTTTACAATCATTTCAGCACTAAAGACATAAACTAATCCTGTTTTGAAAGCAGAATTCTTTTGTCTTTATCTGTGAAACAGTACAAGTCCTTCATTGCTGTATTTTGCACACATTTTCAATGCGAGATGGTTCTGGGCTGCAGAAAGGTCAGGCTAGCACCTGCACTCTCTGATAATGCCGCAATGCTTTTATAACACATGCAGAATGTGTCTTCGCCTTGTAATGGTGAAATAAGCATGGACGTCACTGAACAAGGTGTTTTTTTAAAAGCTATTGTAAATAGTGCTTTACAAAGTTATATTTTTCCGAGTTTGTCTTGTCATTGCAGGTTAGCTTGGTTTCCTCTGGTTTTACTACTTCGTTGAGTTCAGCTTTATCAAAGCATGCTGCTGCTCTGTAACCAGGGCAACTCCAGCAGTTAATATAGGTTACATAAGCCCAGCATAACTCAGCATCACTCACTGGTCTAAGCAAGCATAAAGACACAGGTAGACTGCAGAGGGAGGAATACAGAGAATCACAGCAGTGCAGCACATTTATTACTTACACTGTGGGGAGGATTGTAATTCACACACAGTGAGATACTGAGGAAGGAGAATGAGAGTGAAAAGAATTGTTAATAAGTGTGTAGTTTAGTAAAATGTCTCTGTCATATCTGGCTGCTTGAAAATGTCAGCTGCCTTTTACGTTGCATGAACACTTTAAGACAAAAGAACCAAAATTATGCTGAATAAATCGTAGCATTATCTTACACTGAATGTTTTTTTCTCCTTCTATTGTGAAGTTAACGCATCAAAAACAAGGTTTTGTTACGGTTTACTTCCCCAGATAATGTTAAAGCCTGATTACCCCCTAAGTATTATTACACACTACTATAACCTAAGAAAAGCTCCATTATTTTGCACTGAAGTCCCTGTAGCTACTGAATAATAAGCCTTTGTATGTAATAAGCCTGGAATGTCAAAGGGTTAAATAAAGAATACAACAATTCTATTTTAGATATTTTATTTTATTTTTTATTCTCTCTGTAATTATTAGCATCTCTGGTGAAGATGTTGAAGAAAAAAATCTTTGATTTTATGCTAAGACTATATAATTCACTGCACATATCATTTACTTTATGTTACATATAGAAGTATATCATTGTCTAAAGATAGACATTTATAATGATATTACATCATTTAATTTCACTTCTGTACATAAGATTTCCTCTCTGCTCTCTACTGTCTTACACTAAGAGGCAGATGAAGATGCGCTCAAGTTACTTTGTAACTATGAATCATCTAAAAGCTTAATCTTCACCATTTAACTGGAGCACAGAGGGAGGCGTGAGTCAACACCAACATGATAAGATGGAGATCTGAATAATGGGAAGTGGCAGCCTAATTAGAAGCACCTCTCCAACTCACTGGGGGTGGGGTGCTGAGAGCAGATATGAATAGGGGAAAAGAACATTACTTTGGAATGAAGAAAAGGATAAAATGATTAAGATGATGAGGTGAAAAAGAGAGGAGAAGAAATGCTGGGTGAATCATCAGAAGAGGGCAAAGAATAACAGACAGAGCTGTCAAAAGTGAAAAGTCTTAATGTGAGATGGACAAAAACACAGTGAGAAATATTACTTTAGAACAAATAATAGGGTAATAAAAATGTAATAACAATTTAATTACAACTTACAGTGTCCTCGCTGGAGGGAGCCTGCAGCTATTTAACTAAATCTCTCTCTCTCTCTCTCTCTCTCTCTCTCTCTCTCTCTCTCTCTCTCTCTTTCTGAGTGTTTTGGGGGGTATTCAAAGAATAGGTATAATCAGAAACAGGCAACCCAGCAGAGCTGTTTGGTTACTGTTTTGTGTATTGAGCCCCCCGTCCCCCCCAAACATCACTACCCAAATCGTCAGCTAAAGAATTTTTTCCACTACTTTAAAAACTGGTGTGAATCCAGGTGTGAATCTTTAAGCTGACAGTGATTTGATTCACTTTTTCATTTGTTTTTGATTAGATTCAAAAATAATTTTTGTGAATTAAGAACGATTTGATTTGACTCAATACGGCAACTAAAATTTGTTGATTCGTCAATAAATCACAATTTGTTTGATTCGTAGTATTTAAAAGTGGTTTTTGACCAATGGATACAATTCAGTGTTCAGTATGTCCTTTTTACAATTAATGCAGTTGCACTGGAAAGAATTATAAGCAATGCATCAAGAAAGCAAATGAGTCATTATATCACTGAAAAATATTAACATATTTTGATAAATGATTGAGAAACTCTAGGCTGTTGTCTTGCCAGCTGCTCAGTAACACTGGGCTTGAAGTCTGTTTTTCTTTAGTTGACACTGCGAATCAGATAACGTTATTTATAAATCATGAACCATTAAATAGCAATGTTTAATGCAGAAACCTTGCAATTCACTTAGTAAATAGCTTTGTTTATCTGATTACCGCCACTACCATAATGCTAATTTCCACTAGCTAGTTATGTGGTTCCCTATATTACACTAGTACCAAGCTAACAGTAGGGTATATTCACATTTTACAGCATGTCCTCCAACTCCAGCCTAAACACAAAACAGTCACTCTACAGCAAGTGGTGGTAGATTTTGTGCTAGTTTCTGGTGGTAGATTCTGTTTTAGTTACTGTAGAGTTTTGATTAGTTACAACAATACAGTCCAGTTTGGCAGCACAGCTGTGTAGTCAGTGTAGCAACTGGAAACTCAATGTTATTAAGTGACACTAAATAAGCACTGTGGTGGTCCAATGCACACTACGACTTCTTATTAGGTTGAATTTATGCATACATTATGAAAAGCTTGTCCAACCTAGCAACAGATGCTACAAAACAACACATTGTTGGGAAGAGCATGAAATGGTCAATTGAATTGATGTGAACTGTTTGTGCAATTTGTCCAACCTAGCAAAAGTTGCTACAAAACAACACACTTTTTTCGCAAATCATGGGTAGGTCAGTTGAATTGATGTGCATTGAATTGATTGTTGTCCTGATGGTGATGCTTGTGAGAACAATACTGGTGTTAACACTAGCCTGATGATATCTACACTTTCCCTGTATCTCCTCTTCTAGAGGGTCACCAGGGCTTTGCTGCAAATCTTAAAGAGTCTCTGAAGGACCTCAAGCCTGAGCAGATTCTAACAAAGTGAAGGGCTAGAAAGGCCTGAAGCATTTAACTACTAACCTCAGCAATGTTCCCTCTATCAGTGCTCTGCAGGTTTGCAAGTGAAGAAGCTAAAAAAACCTGATATTTATTCTGATCCATTCATAAGTATTTCCCTTCTCCCACAAAAAAACAACACATACACACCCACACACCCACTATTCCTGAAGATTAGTGTTCTCACAGACTGATGCAGATTAAAACAGAGTAGCATGCTGTACCTACACGGTGGGTATGATGGATCAGCAGGTCTGTAGAGACCAGTAGGCTTAGTGGAAATCAATACAGCATCCCACACACTATTCAGCAGGAAAACACCCTCTAACAGTGAGTTCTGAATATTAGTCATCCAGTAGCCATTATTCAGCAAAATCTCACACAAAAAAAGCAGCATGTAAATAAAGCAACATCAGGGATTCTCTAACAAAATACTACAAGCCCTCACAGCATTACAAATACTGCAGTTTCTCATGAAATTAAAGTTGCAGAGGAGCTGAAGATCATCAGTACAACTTCTTCTTATTATTATTATTGCTGCTTTGGTTCATAATGTAAAGCTGTGCAGTAAGGTAGTAATGTTTATGTTCATGTGTTCTTTATTTTGTCTTATCATTTTATTATATCTTTATTATTATATCTTTATTATATCTTTTATTATATCTTTATTATGTCTCATAAATAAAAACTGCTAATCACTGGTGGTGATAGAAACCAGATGTTCAAAGTGTTTGATGCCTCTAAATGCTCCCTCACAGGAAGTCATTACATAAAATAGTTATGAATATTCTGTTGTCTGGAGTGTCTGATGTCTGAGATGTTGTTCTGACATTTTAAAACATACATTGGCTACAATGTATTTTGAATCCTCTCATGGTGGAGGGATACATGCAAGCAAAATAGTCCCCAAAGAAAACAGTTTACATCAAACCTCTCTAAATAACTTTTACATCTCAACAAATGAATTATTATTCAGTTGATTGAATTATGCAGATAATTTTGAAAGATGGATAAAATTCCTCATTGTTTTCAAGAGAAATTTATTTTGCCTTCGCTTCAGAGGTTTGCTTGTATGCTTTTAGGACAAATCAGTCGTTTTTTATCATGTATCTAGCTAGCATGGTGTAAAATTCTGCTATTGTGATTTGAAAAATCTGTCTAATTTCAATTATTTACAACCCAGTCCCACATTTTAAACTGAAACATTGAAAGCTCAACATTATGTAACAACTCTAAATAAGCATTCCGGTGGTCTGATGTGAATAATTACTATATTTTTACTTTGTTGTGTGCTACAATTCTTCATAAGATTGAAATTTTGTCAACATTATTTAAAGTGTGTCCACCTTGAATTCAGTTGCTTCGAAACAACACATTTGTATGCATGGATAGGTCAGTTGGATTTGTTCGAACTATCTGACCCTGATGGTGATGCTGGTGAGAATAATGGTTGTTATATTGAAGGCGTAACTTAGGCCACACTCACTTTCGGAATGTGGGGATGCCGTGGCTGGATCGTCCCGGCGGTGTCCCTGTGCTGTAGCTATGTGAGGACAGAAGACTCTCTGTCTCAAACTGGAACATGCCATCACGATCATCAGGAACGTCCAGGAATTCTCCATCACTCCACACCCGCACACTCCCATCCATCGGCTGGTACCTGATCTCTATGGAGATGCTCGTCTGTAAGAAAAGACTGAATTAACCCCTTAAACTCCAGGCTTATTATTCAGTTATTAATCTCGAGGCTTATCATCCAGAAACATAACTCCTATAATTATTTAATAACTTCTATTGCAAGTTATGTAGTTATAACATTGAGGAATAGAAGTCTGATCTGACCAACAGGTTCTTAGCATTCTATCCACACAATAAGCTGCACCACACTACACGATCCTGTTATGTTATGTTTAGGTGTCCATTGTTATGTGTAGAATATTACTTTGTAAAGAGTTTGTTAAGATAATATAGCTAGGAGGCTAATGCTATTAGCATTTATGCTATCCACCACCCACAGAACGACTGTTTTGCTCACACATTCAACTCATCACAGAAAAAAAGGTTTGTTTAATTCTACACGATTCTGTGTCATTTTAGGCATTTGTGTGAGCGACTGTCTGCAAGTGCAGTAAATTGTTTCATTTCATTGTTTCATCAGCCAATAAGTTAAGCTAAAAAGCAAGCAAGATAGGTATTAGCCAAATTAACATAATTCCAGATAGCAAGCATATACCAGTCCGCAGGCATGAGAAGGTCAGCACCCCACTGACTGTATGCCACAGCAGGTCCACCCCTGGACCACCCAGATTACTATCCTATGTACAAGGTCTAACTAGTTTTAATCTCCTCAAACATATTTTAATTGCAAATAGTCTTTTATTTTGGAAAATAAACAAGACAAATATTACAAACAAGGAGAAACAAGTTACAAATTTATTTAAAATTAGTAAAATTATTTACTAAACTAATTTACAAGTATAATGAAAGAAAGAAATGAGGGAAAAATAAGTAAATCGGGAATTGGAAAAAAATGAACATTGAATGGAAAATGAGCAATGAAAAGTGGCATTTTGTCTAACACTCTGCTTAATCACTGGTGGCTCCTGGAAAACAATGAGCAAAAAGCCAGTGGGCTGCCATTTTTGCCATCAACAGGCCAACAGTGGCCCGGTATCCTTTTGCCATCTGGGATGCTGCATGACCATCACGGTAGCATGACTAAATTGTCATTATAATGCCCTTGTGTATGAGTATTTCGTAATAAACTTGCAATTACAATAATTCATGAGTATAAGTGTAATAATTTTGGTTTGTAAAAGCTTGTCATTATACAAAAATATATGGTCACCATAGAGCTGTCATCCCTACTAAAAACAACTTAGACTAGCATGAATTTTACACTATTCTAAGTTAATGCTCATTTATGCTGGTCTGGTGCTGGTTTAGTTGGTCACCCAGGATGGTCAAACTGGTTGACAAGCATATCAGCATCCAAAACACAACAAAGGCTCGTCTTGGTGGTGATCAGCACAACAGCTCCCATTGCTGCTGACCAGCATACCAGCATCCAAAACACTATACCTCCTGGTCTATGCTGTCTCCTATCAATGGTTATAGAGGTCATCAAGAGCTTGTTCTCTCCTACAAGCCACAAAACACTGAAGGGATGTACAATAGATAATATTCATAGTAATATTCTCCACCAAACTTTTTCTTATTTACTGTCACATCTGTTCTAACTCATTATGATGTTGCATATGATCCCTGGCTGGACTGATTAGTCTAAGGTATCATATTGGCACGTGAGACGTAGCAGGCTGAACCCTTCTCCTGGGATCAACGTGCTGGCATCAGTTACCCTCTCCGCTCATGTTTACAAACTCCTTAGCGATGGAACAAGGAAACGTTTAGCCTCTGCCCCACCTGGCCCTGTGATACCCCAGCCTGCCTCCTCCCCAGGGAGCAAAGAGTAGAAAAAGCAAGGAAACTGGAGAACTGCAGCTTTAGGACTGAGGCTTTAGCACAGCAGCTTACCAAACAATAAATAATGGTACTAAAGGGATTTGCATGTCTGGTCACATTGTGCCACTAGTGTATGAATTTTTGACACATGAAATAAACAACGTATGAAATATGCACTGTGCATATTTTTTTACAGCGAGTTCAAATTAATTTTAGCTATCAGGAGCTATTTTAACTTGCATTGTAAGGCATGACTAAATCAGTAGAAAATTAAGCAAAATGCATCATAATAAATGAAAAACATTCAGGATTACATCTGAAGTGAAATGATTTATCCAGAGTGACTTATAATTTGTCACTTCACACAGGTAGACATGGGTAACGTTAGGAGTCTTGCCCAAGGACTCTTATTGGTATAGTGTAGGGGGGACTGAACCCCAGTCTACAGGATAGAAGGCAGAGGTATTACCCACTACACCATACCAAATGAATTAATGAACACCATGAATATAATATTACTGGATTATAGGTATATACTGTAAGTGTAAAATTAATGGTATTATAGCTATTTGTGTAGCTAGCTAAGTGCTTGTTATATTGCTGTGTGCTATAGGCTAGTCTTGCTAACTGTGACTGGGCTAGCTAGTTGTATGCACTACTTCAGACACCACTACACCACCGATTTAAACTGATTTCTCATAATAAGGGGAAACTGAAGCATCAGGCAAAACAGATATTGTATTTTCTGAAGACAGAGACAGTACAGAGACAAAGGCAGTACAGAGACAGAGACAGACACAGTACAGTAAAGCTGAACAAATACAGTATATTCCAGTAGCAAAGCAGAGTTGGCTGCAAGTTCTTTTGTGATTAAGCTTTGCTTTGTCTTTGTCACACAGACAGCCTCTGAATAGGACATAAAGCTATGAACTGTAATTACATTTAGAGGAAAAGCAAGCTAAGTTAATGTTCAGGATGTGTCTTTGCAATTGCAATTGCTGTAATCTGTGTATATATGCAGAGAATGTTGATGCTGAGCAGACAAATGCTGCATTTCCAGCAGAAACAAACACATTTATGTGCTGAGATATTGCTACTGTCCTTAATGCAATAAAGCTTAGTGCACATTTTAATCAATGTCATGAACAAATGTTCATCTCATCTTATATAGTGATAGATAGGCCTGTTAGTAAAAGCTGGGAAAGCTGTGTTTCATTCAGTTAGATGTAGTGTGGTGAAGTGTTTAGCGATGTTTAGTGATGTTCTCTATCTCTGTTGTGTTTAATCATGTCAGCAAGAGCAGAGAGCAGTAAACATGAACGGTTCAAAGTCAATGGAAGTTTAAGAGACGCAGGGGCTAATAAGCCACCTCTGGGCCTGAACCTTCATTATGTATCACTGACACAGAGAGAGGAGGAGGGGAGCCCAGTGTAAATCACACCCAGTATGATGGTTGACAGAAGAGCCTCTTTCTACAGAGAGACAAAATAATCATAGGGGTCCAGCCAGAGAAAGCACATGTAGCCATGACAACAGAATTTTCTGCAGGTCGTAAACAAAAGTCGACTCTATCCCACACTATGGGATTAAGGTAGGTGTCTGGAAAAATGAGGTCGAGCTTTCATTAGTGACAGCAGGTGGGTGTGGGTTTGTGTGTCATTGATTGGACTTCTATCATCACCTTCTTAGCAGAGAACAAGCAATATACAAAATGTAGTGTGCTTTGCATGCATACACACACAAACAGATACACACAGACACATGTACAAACCTCAATTCTTTAATTCAATTCTGTTAGGCATAAACTGAAAGCCTGTACAAAAACATTTTATTTGGTGTTCTACCTTAAGAAACATATTGTTTTTTTTGTTTTGTTTTATTTTTGTAAATATACACTCATTATGAAATTGATGCCTGCAACACATTCCAGAAAGGTTGCTACAGGCATATATTAACCCCTGTATGCCGTGCACACTAATGCATCCCATACCACGACAGACCCTGAATTTTGAACTTTACACTGGTAATACTTTTAATGCTCCATTTCTTATTTAGTCGGAGAACACAACATCCATTATTTTCATAAACAATGTGCAGTTGTAGATGCAGCGATGAACTGTGTTTACAGACAACAGTTTGTCAAAGTATTCTCAAGCACATATATCTATCACATAAGCATGTCAGTTTTAATGCAGTGCTGTCTAAGAGATTCTCTGGATTACCTAAATCATTTGATGGTGACCAAGATAGAAGTGCGAGGCTCAGCGTTTCACCAGTTTAAGTGATACAGTGTTTATTTACCTAACTATCCCCTGCGTTTTCACTCGACTCACTCATCCAAACTTCAGATACGACAGACACTGCTTGATATTAATCATCACTGCACAAACATTATTTTAGACCATCCCTTCAACTGCATACTTATCTTTTTACATATGCTGCTCTGACAGTACATGCTATGTACATATATATTCTCTCCACCCACTCTGCATATGTATATTATATTTATATTTGTGTATCTAGATTTTTTTACCACTCTACCATCCTTATTTGTACATATTGTAACTGTCAATTGTCAGTTACTTTTTTGCACTTAATATATGTCACACTGTATTTTGTGCTTCCAGTTAGATTCATTTCATTGGCTCTGTACCTGTACTCTGCACAATGACAATAAAATTGAATCTAATCAAATCTAATCAAATGATATCCTGCACTGTAGAGGGTGAAATACCTAAAAATCTTGCAATCACTTGCTGTGGAACGTTATTTTTAAACTACTGGATTTTTTCGCAAAGTGGTGAGCCTCAACCCCTCCTTGCTCTTAAAGGACGAGGCCTTTCCTGCATGCTCATTTTATACCCGAACATGACTGCATAACCTGTTTAAGAAGTTTTTATTTTCACATTTTAAAATGATCAACATTCCTAGTTCTAAACTGTCCCTGTCCCTTTTTTGAACATCAACTTTAAAATGAGTGTATATTTACATGAAGCGGACATTTCACATACAGTTCCAACTTTTTTGGAATTTAAGTTTTTACATTCCCATACACACACACACACACACACACACTGTCTCATTTCATTCCATGTCTTACCTGAATAGCTGTGTTGTTGTCATCTATGAGCGTGTCAGACACCTCCAAATGACCCTCTTCCACCACCTTCTGCAGAACCATCCGGAAGGTGCCAATCAACCTGTAAAGAGAGGAAAAAACACTCATGCTTCAATATCTAAAGCAATAACACTTTCCAACACCCCAGCTCGTCTGTCTCACTTTAGGCTTCCACTGCCCACGCCTGCATGTTGGGTCTAGAGCTGGTGATGGTGATACACAGTGGCAGCCATGGGGAAGAACATCAGCCTTTACATCTGCATCACAGCAACAGTGCACATACCCAGACTAAAGGTCATCTCTAAGAATATCTTTTTAAAGAGTTTGTTTTTCATTTCAGCTCCTTTGTTCTGCTTCAGAGATTAACAACAAAATGTAACAGATTTCCAAATGTTCTTCGAAAAGACTGTCATGATGCAGCTACATTATAAGCTTGCTTTAATATGTGTTTTATGTCTGGATTGTATCTAGATATACTTTGGTTGGATTACATTTACACTTGTCACAAAACATGTGTCCTCACTGTGGGCAGATGAGATCCAGTTTTCCTTTAAAAAGCACATCAACACATATGTCACCTTCATATACTTGTTTCCCTCATTATCAGATGAATTGACAACATGGCTTGGGTGCTTTCAAGTGTAAAAAGGCACTTGGTTTCAGGATTACTTCAGCCTTGTGTTTTCTCCATCTTGCATTTCCTTGTTTATCCTGTCATCTGCTAGTTGGCACTTGGCAGATGCGTTTCTTTCAGTTAAGTGAAATCCAAATGAGATTCAGTCACAAGAAATGCATGTTGATGCAAGTTGTAAACAGCCTTTACATGTCCAAAAGTATATAGACACCTCTACTAATTAGTAAATTTGGCTATTTTAAGATGCACCCCTTGTTGATACAGGTATTCCATTGCGCGCACACAGCTTCTATAATCTCCCTAGAGTTGGAGTGGTGTTTGTGGTCCAGAACATCTAACCCGCTTATCCTTCTGGGTCACGGGGTAGCTGGTGTGAGAAAAAATACATGTATATAAAAAATATAACGGGGCAACAAAATTGCAGAAAGAGTGAGAGAGAAAGAACTACACTGATGAAAAATTGAAATACTCTACTGTACATGTCTCTAAAATGAAGCACTGAATGCAACCCCTTCTTTGTTTAGAGGAAATTATATGCTGAATAATTTAGATCTTTTTTCATGCCATAAAAAAATATAAAATGCTTCTTTACCCAAGACCTAATTTCATTGCAATTAGAATAACTTCTTAACACTGTCATCTACAACAACATACATGCTAGGATTGCATCTTCAGGACAATAGAACTTGACACTTTCACATACATTGAAAAAATGATGCACTGAATTTACATAATTCAAACATCATCATTTTCACATGAATGAAATACAACACATCCTCACAGTCAATCTGAAAAGTAAGTAAACTAGAAGACAAAATTGTGTTGTATAAATGTGGAAGTAATGTACAAATTTGAATCAAGTTAATGCACTACTTTTCAGTGTGAAGTGTGACACTATAGATCCAACACAACTTGACCTCAGTATATATTAACACTAGGTTACACTGTATATATTCACACTAGGGTGACATAATCGGAAATCAACAATGACTGACAAGTAAGTCCATGATGTGCTTCAAAGATGATGAACAAAAATGGAGATACAAGGTTTTGTTCTGACAGGGATGAAATACATGTAAAGTTTTATTGCTAGTTATAACAATAGATTATTACTAAATGTTAATAAGCCATTAAGTAGAGTGGTAAAGTGAGTGGTAGAGTTTCCCAAGGGTGACATACAGTCTGATGAAATTTCTCAGCATTTTCTGTACCCCCATGGTTAAAGGGTAAAATTATGAAAATACAATATTTCATGGTTTTCCACAGGCATCTATAGCTGAATCCTAGAGTGACTCTGCTAAAAGACCAGAAAAATACCTCACCGAACACAGACGCTTCAAACTACACAAACATGGTTTTGCGTGCTGTTGTGTTTTAATGCTGTGCTCACATTTTTGTCGTGAAAACAAAGATGTTCCATGCTTCATAGTGGTACCCAACTGACAGCAGCATGAAGCTATGCAAATGTTTGCATGTCTGTGACATGTTACTGCTGGTGGTGACAGAATTTTCCATCTTGGCTATAATGAAAAAAATGGAATATCTGGTTTGCTGTCGTCTGAACTGCCAATATGTGAACGCAACATTAGTTGTGTCACAATGCAATTAAAAACATAAAACACACGCAAGCCTCACTATGAACATTACAGCAAGGGGCAACAGTCAGGCCTGGCTTAGCTGTCTTGTACCATCAGCATGCTTTCTTCTGGTGAACAAGAATGTCATAAAAATAGTTTTAAAAAAAGGGGCCATTGGCCAGACGTTGTCCTGTGCATTTGCGTGCTTGTGTTACGTATGTTTCTGTTTTAACAATGTCTTTTAATTTTAATATGTAAAGCACATGGATGTGGCTTTGGAACTCACTCATTTGCTGTGCACATGTAGAAGTTTGATGTTTCTCCAGCAGGGGCCAATATTAGCAGCTGGAGCTCACGAATGCTCATTAATGCACACGTTTGCAGTAACAACTTTCAAAACGAGATGTGAAATAGCTTTCAGAAACGTTGTGTAACTCAGTATTCTGCTTTCATACCACTTAAAATTCTGGAATTATTTCATACTAAGGCTTATTATTCAGCAACTATAGGGACTTCAATGCATACCGGTTGAGCTATTCTTAGGTTATAGAAGTGTGTACTAAAACTTTGGGGCAGCCAATGGGCCCTGGCCATTAAAGAGGCAAAGATTTTCAAAAAAAATTGTCCATGTTAAAAAAGCACATAAGCTTTTTTTTGACAATAATCACAATTCCTTTACCAGTATCCCATTACAAGCAGTGATTATGACTATATAGGAGTTTATAGGACTATATAGAAGAATATAAGAGTCCTGTTTCCATTATCTCTTTCTCAAATGCCACGAAGTCATCACAAAGCTTTCAGTGCCACACTGACCTGCACTCCTCATTTTCAGAGAAGCCTCGAGACCAGGGTAGAACCCTGTGTGGTTCTGCAGTGAAGTGGCTTCTTTGTCATAGACTGTAGACTGGCATGAACGCTTGCATGGGTGAATAATTCACTGATCTGGGATCAGGTTCTGGCTCCTGATGCCCTTTTCAAAAGAACGTTTATGCATTATTGATCTAGCATACAACAAACAATCGACTTTCATCTACTTCATAATTTACTTCATCCTCCCTTTTCAAGACACATCCCTTTGTTGTCTGAGTCAAACCCAGGAAATTTACAGCACCAGACTTGCGCCTGATGAGTTCGTTCCATGGTTGGCTGAGAACAGACGTTTCTTAGGAGGATGACTGATCAAGACCCATGCTAGCTTCATTTTCCAGCTGATATCTTTGCCTGGATGAACTGCATCCCAAAGGAGGCATCACCCTTCATTTTCTGAAACAAGAACACTATTCAGTTACAGGTAAAATCCAATTCAGTAGGTGCCAGAAAGCAAATTACGTCCCTCAACACATCTTGTTCAACTTCCAATTTGCCAGAGTATTATCTACTTGTCTGAGGCATATGCTCCTCAGTGTAGCTAATGGGGGGTGGGGGGTTAGTGTTAATCAGAAGGTTGGATTTTCATTTGCTAGATGAAGCAAATCAGCTCCATTCGAGTTCAAAGTTAAACCATAGCAAATCCATAGGGCTTAAACAAGACTACACACATGCTAATCAGACAAGGCCTACTAAATGAGTAAAAAATATAGATAACAAAATAGATGGTTCACAATTGCTCTTGCTAACGTGTGATAAAATGCAGACATTATAAAGATTATGCAGTAAGTATGGTATTAACCCCTTAAAATACCAAGCTTATTAGATGCTAAGGCTTATTATTTAGCAACTACAGGGACTTCAATGCAAACTGGTTGAGCTATTCTTAGGTTCTATAAGTGTGTAGTAAAACTTTGGGCCCTGGCCATGAAAGGGGTTAATTTCTTGTGTTTGCATCATAATATCCATAACACAGACTAACTTTCTGACCTTCCTGTAGCTCCCAGAAAGAGTCTGCAGGGTTACGTGAGTCAGAGTGGCTGTAAGGAAGCAGCTACAGCGCCACCAGCTGGACATTCTAAAACAATCTACTAAAGTCAGTGAATTCACCTCCAGTGCAGCCCAGTGCATTATCATGTAGAGCCACTTTTTTTAATTAATTTTGTATGGATAAAATCCAGTGTACAATGGTAAATGCATACCATTAGCCTGAAACTGTTGACTGCAGCACAAAGAAAACCTGCTACACTTAAAATTTGAAGAAAAGAAAAATTCAAGGACACACACTGAACTATTTTCATGTATAAATTGAGTACAATGCCAAATAAAGTAAAGGCCTGAGCCCACTTTTTTGGCTTTATGTATCTTATTTCATTTGTTTATACATCTTATTAAATTTGCTCACACATAACAGTGATCATTTACTCTAGAGATGATAAGGAGATACCTAAGGATTTAGAAGAATGACATGTGTTCTACTGGTGCTTTAATTATTCAGCAGGATCCTCTCCCTGTTCTGTGCCCCATTCAAAGACAGGTCACCAAAGACACCAAACGTACACTTTGTTCCACTGTAGCATATGCAGCATGATACGATATGGTCACAGAACAGAGAGACCAAAGACATTGAAAATTAATAAGGTCAGAGATAACCAAGCGACAGGCTCATCAATTTTGTACAAAAACAAAGTTACGCATGCTGCATTTGCATTCGAGTAATTATCTATTTAGTTAGTTATTTAGTTCATCATTTCCATTTACTTCAGTTACACTGACTTTAGTTTCAGAGTACAGTTAGACTGGAAGTTATGCAATCCCTGCTTATGCTGGTCTAGGTGGCTGACAAGGTAGACATCCAGCTGAACAAGATGAAAACACTATGCTGGTAAACCAATCGATGTGTTTTCATGAGTTTGACGGTCAGCTAGCTTAGTCATACAGGTTGTCTTGCTTGATCATGCTGGTCAAGCAGGCTGGTCTTGAAGGTCAACTAGCTTGATGTTATGCTGGTCAACCTGCTTGGTAAGACTGGTTATAATGGCAACTTGGTCTTGCTGGTCAAACTGGTTGACCAACGTGGTCATGCTGCTTGACAAACTTGACCAACTTGGCAAAGCTGGTCATTCTGGTTGACCAACTGGGTCAAGCTGATCATGCTGGTTGAAGAGCTATTTCAAGCAGGTCATTCTGGATGACTAGGTAAACGATGCCAGCCAGCTAAGTGCTTTCTTAGTGTGCTGAGTTAAGATGTGAAAAGCATTTTTTTACTCTGTTACAGAGTGAAGTTAGATTAGAAGTTATGTTAGCACTTAGCAGTGGTCATCCACTCCACAATGAGGCAAAGGTGACAGAAAATCTATAAACAGCCTGGTCATAACATTTTAACTGTGACTCATGCCAGCAAGGGGCCAGGAACAAGAGAACAAGCCCACACACACTCTCTTTCTCACACACATACACACACACCCGTACTCTAATGCCTGGCACAGGAGACGTGTCACGCCTTGTCAGGACAGAGGGTTTATCTGTCACTCAGCTGAGTGCTGTGGTTCTAATGGTGACAACCATCCCCTGCTGGTATTAGAGGAAAGAAATTGCTGCACTCTTATAGAAAAGAGAAAATGGAGGAAGGGTTAAGAGAATGCTCAAGGCCGGACATTCACTACAGGAATAGAGGTTTCAAAGTCAGTTTCAAAGTTTCTGCTGAACAACACACAGGAAACAAACACTGAGAAAGTATCTGCCGTCTATGCTCCAGGCACAGATGCGTTCTTTTGTAGCAATTGTTGTGAGGTTGGACAAGTTGTACAGAGCACTAGCAGAAACTCACAATTAATCTAATTCTAATTAAATCTAAGAGACTGTTGCTGTATTTTTCAACATGCCTCATATATAATAACGGATTGTCAGATTGTTTAGCGGTCATTTTAGGGGTCTAGCGTGAATAATATAGATATTTTGACAGAGCTGTGTGCTACAATTTCTCTTTAGGTTGAATAGGGTTTTGGCCACTGTTCTATAAAGCTTGTCCACCCTCACAACAGTAGCCATGAAAGAATGTATTTGAGAGTGGAGCATGGATAGGTTCAAATTATTCAACTTCAGCCTTAACAATCTATATGTGCTAGAGAAATAAGGGTGAAAACATCTGCCAACAGAATAATCTACATATTTAACAAAAATGCTTTAATACATATAAAACTGGAGTTTCATTTACAATAACACCCCAACTGAGTTTCCATATGTATATATGTCTCTAGCAATACATACATCTCTGAAGTCGGAAGAAAACTTCATATCTCCAAAATGGTAACTTTACAGAAGAATAAAAAAACACACTTTATGTACATGTTATATTTTTATGTAAACTCAAGCATTAGAAGCAAACAGGTCAGCTATGCTGACTTTATATACCTGTTGGTGAAGACTTTGCTGTAGTTGTATATATGGATCTCTAGCATCTCGTTGCCATCCACTTTACTGGCAACTGGCCATCGAAAAGCCTGAAAGAACGAAGCAGAAGAAAAATCCATAACAGTCAAGGTTATTTATTAAGACAGGAAGTCAATACATCTACAGGTTCAGATTAAATGAGACTTCAGAAGAGCCTATTCACAACAAAAAATTTAATTAACTGCCATTACAAACTTTCATTTTAAATCACAAAAAAAAAGATTCCAACTTACATAGTAAAAATAAATAAATAAATAGCCCAAATTACACTAGTGGCTGAAATGAATCGAAAGCCCCATAAACCTCTAATTGAATACTTTAATGATAAGCTGGGGGACACAAATTACTGCTAATGACACAACAGGAAATAAAGGCAGATAAAGAGTTTGGTGATGTTTCTGCTACTTTCTGCCTGTGTGGCCTTTGTCAGATAAGTCACTACATCATTCACAGCCTGGCAAATCTATGTCATTATTGGTGCTGCCAGACAGAACAAAACACATTTAATTTGAATGTACAAGAATTATTGTTTTGCAAATTTAAGGCCACATGGCATTATTCATTGAGCTAAACAAAGTGAAATGCTTTATAAACTGGAAACAGTTTTACACAACTATGACAGAAATATAACATCAAAACCTTCATTTGGCTTCTTTCTTGTTTTTACCAGCTAACATCAGCTGTCCTTTACATTGTGTAAACATTTAATAATGAACAGACCAAAAAAAAAGACTAATAAGATCTTATCACTTTAACTTATATCAAAATTTGAGAAAGTTGTTCAATGATACAGGGCTATGATGTGCTTTTCTCTGCTCAGATGGGTTCATGAAAAAAAAAATGTATGCAGAATAACTGACTTTTATGTTATACTCCTAAAACTCTTCAGTCTCTAACTCTGTGGGACTTCCCCTCTGGTGCTGGTGTGCCTGCCAGTGGGCCGATCCATCAGTGTCCTCCTGTTTCCTGGACCAGGAGGTCCCATCTGCCACACGCATCCACACAGCCAAAGCAGCAGCCCTGAGGGCTATGGAGACGTGCCATTTCACACAGTGATAATGAGGAGCCGCAGCCCCCCAGCACTAGACAACGGGACAGAGTCACCACTCAAGGCCATAGAGGGAAAAGATAGGACGTTCTAACAATAGATACAGTGTAAGCAGAAGTAGAAAGAGAACTGAAAAACCCCACTTAAGCAAGAATACTGCTGCTGTAGTGAATATTTGCTTGAGGACAAGTAAACGTTTTAATAGAGAAAATTATCACACAAGAGTCAGTAGCTCTAAGGCTCAATCCCATTTCTTCTTTTTACCCCTACCACTTGTTTTCGAGTGTCACCCTAACCCCTTGGAACAAGGAGTTACAAGGAGTAGTGGTTGAAATCTTGCCCTACGAAATGGGACAACCCTCAAATAAAAAAAAAGAACAAAACATTCTTTTATCAACAGCCTACTAGCGCTGCTCTGTAGGCGACCCAGCCCGACTTCAGTGATAACAGAGAAGGGAAAAGTTCAGCAACCTCACTGCTGGGCTTTAGTTACATTTAGGGCATCATGTGCTTTCAAAGAGGGGGGTATAAGACAATTATTTATTATTGCCCACCTCTAATTCTTTGGTGATACGAAGCTGAAGTCAGCTTCGCCAGCTTCTTGTTCGAATTTTTCCGTTCCACCTTAAATGGTGCAGCAGTTACATTCTGGCACTTCAGGCGTCAGCACTGCTGGACTATTTAAGGTGGAACGGGAAAGTTAGCTTGCTAGCTACCGAAACATTAGCATGCTATTAGCGATTTTTAATACTTTTTATAAAGAAAATGACCATAATACATTGAAACAACATTAAACTAAAGATAATACGATGGTTATTTTTATTTATTATTATTTTTTAATGGAGAAAATTCTCACATTTGTGGGTTTCTTTGGTCAGGCATCTTGCCGTTTTTTTTTTTCTGATAACACTCCATTCGGAGTGTGCCTCTGAAAAACCTCCGTTTGGAGGGTCATGTAGCCCTAACACTTCGCCCTACCCTTCTATCTCAACAAAAATTGGGACACCCTAACCCTAGACGTGAACGCGCAAAACAGAGGGCTAAGCACTAAGTGGTAGGGGCAAGGGGTGAAATGGGATTGGGCCTAAGTTACTTTAGGTTCACCCTACAGTTTCTTACAGTTAGTTACAAAAGCCTTAACAAGCTTCAGCTAGTCCAGAACGCTGCAGCCAGAGTCCTCACAAGAACCAGAAAGTTTGACCATATCAGCCCAGTTTTATCAAACCTACACTGGTTGCCAGTTAAATTTCGCATCGATTACAAAATTCTTTTACTGACCTATAAAGCTCTAAATGGACTCGCCCCTCAATACCTGAGTGAACTTCTCTCATACTATTAACCATCGCACCTACTTAGATCACATGGTGCTGGCTTACTATTAGTACCTAGAATTAATAAAGTTACATCTGGGGGGAGAGCCTTCTCATACAAAGCCCCCCAACTTTGGAATAATCTTCCAGTCAGTGTTTGGGACTCAGCCTGAGTCTTTAAGTCTAGACTAAAAACTTACTTGTTTAGTCGAGCCTTTGGTAATTAGTTTTCCCTGTCAGATAAAAGGTGCATATCTGGGGGTTCATGGTCAAAGAGTATTATGGTAAACTGCGAGTGTTGGTGCCGTCGTCCCGCTGCTCTCACGCGTTCACGCAAGTTTGCTGACGGTGGAGCAGAGGGGCACCGACATCTCAGGGAGCCCTAATGTCTCTGTTACCTTTCTGGTTTCTCCCTTTTAGTTAGGCTGTAATAACTAGACCGTTCGGAGTCTGTGCTGCACTCTATTAAATTATTATTGTAATCTGTGATCAGTCACTCTTTTTTCATAAACTAAAACTAATCTAATTAGCCACTGCTCTGCCTGTTTTCCCCATTTTGTACTACAATACTTTATACTAATGCTGTTTGCTATCCGGTGTCGACCAGAGGAGGTTGGGTTCCCCTTTTGAGTCTTGGTTCCTCTCAAGGTTTCTTCCTCTTGCTCTTTGGGAGTTTTTCCTTGCCACTGTCGCTGCTGGCTTGCCCATGGGGGCTTGGACCCGGATTTTTCTGTAAAGCTGCTTTGTGACAACACCTGTTGTAAAAAGAGCTATATAAATAAACTTTGACTTGACTTGACTTTGACTCAAGGTTTCCCTACATTTTTATTGACTACCTATGCCAGTGGCATAGAATTTCACTTTCATTCATCCACCAACCAGCTGTGTCATTAAAATTCTTCTTACCATAGACAAAATGGGACAAAATGATTTTTAAATTTAAACACTACGCATGACTGCTCACCTTACATTTAAATGTCCATAACTACAATAAGTGACAGTGGGCATCAGCTAAGTTAATTATTCACAGGTACTTTTTTTACACACATTCAGGTATAGATGTCTAGGGCAAATGGATGCAATGTTCTTGCCATTTTTCCACAGTATTGACCCTTTGAAGTTTGTTTACTGTGGTCAAACACTGTGCTTGCTAGGTAAGCAGCATATAGGAACTAGTGCAACTTACAATTTAGTCACGTTACAGAGGTATGTGAATGCAGCGTTAGGAAAGTTGCCAAATAGGCTTATTGGTATATTGTGGTGTACCTGCACAGGTGTGGAATCAAACCCAAGTCTTGTGTGGAGCAGCTGTGTTACCCACTATCATATACCAACTCCGTAAGCACCCACATTCTTTACTGATGTAAAAACAATATTCTGCACCCGGCTGTTGGCCGTCTCTTTTAATTTAATTTAAAAAGGCATGAAAATGCTATATATCAGGCCCACCACTGCTAACTCATAAACCTACTAGGCCATGGGCTCCTAAGTGGTGCAACCATCTAAGCATTGGCCCTATCATCAGGAGATCACAAGCTTGATCCCCAGGGATGCGACAGCCATCTGTGGCCAGGAGTCCAAGAGAGCACAATTGGCCTTATTGTTTGGGTGGGTAGGATGGCCCTCCCTCCCCCCATCACTCAGTGTGAGGATAGCCATATTAGGCATCTGTTTTCTGACGTTACAGAACTGGCGGTTGGCACTTTCCCCTGAGCGAATTCAGCTGTCCAATGAGGTTGCATTAGAAGCTGTTTAAAAAGATGCGGTGGCACTTCAAGGGTCTCGGAGGAAGCTTGTGTTAGCCTTCACCCTCCTAGCACTAGTGGCATTGTGTGATTGGAGGAATCGGATATGACATAAACTGGGGATTAAACTGGAAAAAATCCCTCCCCAAAAAACTTAATATGCCATGAACACTAGCTTTCTTTAGCAAGCCAGTTACCAGTCACAGCACTTACAACAGAGCACACAAACAACAGCTTTAAGTTTAATAAAGAATTATCATCATTCTAAAAGTACAGAAAAAAAGACCACATATTTAGCTAAGATTAATTAGCTAGCCAGCAATTTGCTTCAGATCAGAGATGAGTTGTGAAAAACAGGTTTTTTGACAGTTATTTTAAACAGCAAACGACAAACGTTACAAATAAACAAGTAAAATGACCATAATTTAATTAGCCTTAAATAAGTACTTTTATATGAAAGGTAAAATAAAGGCATATCTGTTGTAACCAGAAAGAAATCAACATGCTCAGTTTAGGAGGAATGGCTGAATCCATGTCAAATAATCACAGATCACTCTTACAAAGAGTGTAATCAATACAGAAAGTTTCAGAGTGAGATAATACAACCAGCAATTTTAGACAGTGAAAGAGAAGGCAGTTCTATAACCTCAGCTGCTCCAGCTGAGAGGTGCTGAATATAATGACTAAAATGAGTTTCATTGATCATTCAAGCATCCAGGGAGGTTTAAAAAGACAAGTCATATCCAGCAATTAAGTGGAGCTCAGCGAATAACACAATTACACACTAGAAGAATACTTACAAAACAACTGCTGGATGGCCAGTGAAATGGGAACCTAGGGTTATAAGCAGGCATGACATTAAACACACCTCTTGATGTCTTTGTAGCCTTAATGACAGGTAAAAGTGCAGTGCCTGCTGTAATGTGATGTTCAGTTCAAGGTGTGAT